TTAGGGTCTAGGGTTTAGGGTCCCTAAACCCTAAACCCTGAACCCCAAACCCTGAACCCTAAACCCTAAACCCTGAATCCTAAACCCTAAACCCTGAACCCTAAACCCTGAACCCTAAATCCTAAACCCTTACAGCCCCCTTTTTGAACGCCGGGTTGGCCTTGGACTTGCTCGGAGCTTCCCTGGGCAGCAGCTCCGTGAGGTTCGCTCCCGGTTTAGGGGCTTACGGGCTTAGGGATTATAGGGTTTACCTNNCCGAAAAGACCTACCCTTGTAAGGAACTATATATAGAAACCATAATAAGGAACCTTAAAAAGGTAGGTCTTTTCGGTTACAGGTAAGGGTCAAAGGCTTAGGCAAGTTTAAGGCGCAGGGATGGGATGATTATAGGGCTTCGGGATTTAGGGTGTCTAGGTTTGGGCTTTAGGGTGTAGGCTTTTGGGGTTTTTGAGGATTAAGGGCTGAAGGTTTATAGGTTTTGGGGGAGGTAAGGCTCAGAATATAGAGTTGAAGGTTTAGGGTTTAGAGGCTTCGCGGTCTAGGGCTTGGGGTGTAGGGGCTTCAGAGTGGTGGGGGTTTAGGGTTAGGAACCAGGGGTTAGAGGAATTCGACTTAGCTGTTTTCGGGCTTTAGGGTTTAGGGAGCTAAGAGTTTGGGGACTGAGGGCTTCCTGGGTACAGGGGTTCGGGATCTTCGGTCTTCAGGTTTCTTGTGGGTTTGGGGATTTCGGGCTTGGAGCTTCGGTGGTGAGACTCGGCCTTTATGGACGATGTTTGAGAGTAACGATCTGGCATCAGCGTCAGCATCAGTCATCATCACCCGCCGTGATTGCTTGGATCTTCAACGGCATGATGACAGCACTAGCAGCACGATGATTAGTCACCATAGTACTGGTCGTCGTGATCTGCATCCGCGAACCATGCATCAATGCTCAGCACTCTTTGGCAGACTGCCGAAAAGTCGATCGCCAGCACTTCTAGCTCCCTCCAAAGTTGGTAGCCAAGTCTGGAGAAGCATCAGATCAAGTCGAATCCGGAGTCGGTGGATGGAGCCCAAGCGATAACACTCAGTGATAACAGACTGCACACAGCTGCAGCTCTACGTCTGAGGTGAGCTGCAAATACAGGAGCCCTCGGTTTTCAGTTTTCCCTGCCCTGACCTCTGCCCTGACCTCCACCGAAATCGCACTGAGGCTAAGCCCATGGCTGTGCAGCCGCAGGATTCTTTGAAGCCGATGCCTGGAGGTGCTTGAGGCCCGCCTTTTTCTGCGGATCCAACCTAGGGGAGAACAGGGGCTCGGTGTTCTCTTGACTTGGTCCTTGGGTGTTTTTGGGCAAGTTGTGAAACTCGAGTTGTAGAGCCCCTTTATGTTAGACCCCTAGATTCCTTTTCTGGAAACCGTAAACGTCCGTGAAGCATAGAAACTTGGAAAAGCGCATGCACACCCTGAACGCTCAACAGATGTAGAGTGCCGCTAGGCTGTAGAACCCTAAAGCCATCCTGAAGCCTCCTGAAGCCTGAAGAAGGAAACAAATTCCACTAGAGTTCCTCGTGCATCCCTTGCTGAGCAGGCGGCTCCGCGAGCAGGTGGAGCTGCTCCGACGTATCGCCCATGTCGTTGGCGAGGCCCTTAAGAAAGGAAATCACCTGGGGTTTTTTTTGGGGGGCAGGTCGGCCTCCCTCCGTATCGGTGCCCTTGTTGGGGTCCCTTATGACTACCGGGTTCGCTTTTTGAGAGCTGAGGTTCAAGTAGATTCGGAGGCAGCAAGCTTTGCGCCAGGCCTGAGACGAATCATCCCGGTCAATCGGCTCTCATCCCTCTTTACCCAAGGCTTACGGGGGTGGGGGAGGAGGGCGTGCCTGTCCTGTCTTGTTTCCTAACTCCAACCCAGAACCTATCTCAACGACATAGGGATGAGAACCGCGCGTCCTCGTCGGGATTTATGGCTTCGATCTCCTGCCAGGTTGGGATGAGCCGTTGGGATGAAGTCTAGCCAAGGTCTTGTTGAGGGTGCTTAGTAGCCACGGCCAACTTAAGCATCGACTTTCTGTTTAGTAAAGAGGGGGGGTCGGTGTAAGTTAAGGGACTAGTGGGGTAGCTCATGGTTTCCCCGCCAAATTGAAGCTTACAACATCCTGAAGCCATGGGATGCTATCGAACCCGAGACACGGCTCTTATGGAGGGTCTTAATGATTCGAATAGGACTTTGGTGTTTATGATAGTAGACTTGGAAATAAGACACCCCAAGGAATAACCGTAATCCCGAAATCCAGAAACCTACACCCTACACCCCATAAACCCTGAACCCTAAGGAATCATAGTGAGACTGTGATCATTCCCTCGATCCCGAGATGTAAAAACTCGATTAGACGACTCATGGGAGCCTGCAGATCCCAGCCGCGGAAGTTGTACAGCGCAGGGATAGACTTAGTGCGCAGGGAGAGAGCGAGAGAGAGAGAGAGAGAGACACACATGTATAGATTGATATGTATACATACATATATATATATACACACACACACTCTAAATCTATTCGCACTTATCTATTGTTAATACTCTAAATAAATAATTCTCTCAATAAACCAATAAACACATAAGTAAATAAAGAAAAATATAAATATATATATATATATTATAATAATAATAATAATAGTAATAATAATAATCCTAATAATAATAATATTATTGATAATATAGGGAGAGGGAGAGAGCTTTCAAGGTGCAAGAACCATGGATGACCCTAAAGCATGGTCTGTATACCATGTGCACGACGAGTATGCCCCTGGTGCATGCATGCTGCCACATCACTTCATGGCGTTCTTTCCATCTCACCTGCTCCATGCAATCACGCTCAGCTCAAAGAAGCAGCACGCGCAGTGTTCATATAGACAGCATAGGTGTCGGGCTTCTGCCAGATATATGGTAACCCTAAACCCTAAGCCCTAAGCCACTAAAATCACTAAAACCCTAAGATACCAGCCTTAGATTGCTCGTCACTCCCCGAGGCCGCGACCAGGACGTCAGAGACAGTCTGCCAGGCACCTACCTCCCAAACAAGATGGCTGTTGGCTTCCGTTTTGTGTTCTGCCTTGCTTGGTACAATAACAACCACCACCACCACCAACACGACCACCACCACCAGCACCACCTACTCTTGCAGCATGCTGCTGCTGCTGCCGCCTCACTAAAGACCTACTACCACCACCACTGGCAGCGGGCACAGCAATTGCTCTGTGAACGTACAGCCCCACTCGAAGCTGATTTGCGAGGCCTGGTGCTTCACGAACTCTTTCCAGTCCTCATCCACCCAAAGCTCCCTGACAGCGGGAAGAGTCATGATACAGCGTTGCAAACGGCTGCTTACAGTCATGCTGATCCGGAAAGTCTCCCTCGCCGCAGGTTGCTGCATGCTTCCCAAACCTAGTCTACTGCGCGATGACTGGAAGGCCATCACACCAAAAGCCGGCACGTTGTTGGCTGAGGTGTGTTCATGGGGAATAAAGTCCGCTCCTCGTGCTTCGGAGCCCGCTACATCCACGTAATCAGCATCCTTTTCAGGCCTCTTCAGCATCATCGACCATCACATGATCACCATCTTCATCTCCATTATATCACCATCCTCAACAGCCTATTAAAGCCCTATTCAGGCTGGCCAAGATCTCGATTTCTCCGAAGGCCGCTTCTGGAACCCGAGAGCCAATGCTCGAGCGGTCCGCCGTGGCGCCAAACGCGCAGTCCCGACGAAGTGACAGTTTAGTCACGTCGAGTGGCTGCAAATCCTTCCGGCACATTTCATCTACATGGACATGCCGAAGTTGGAGGATTGACAGCCAACCGCGGCAGCTCGAAGGTCTAGTTGGGAGTTTCACAAAACCCAGGAGACCCTGATTTATAACCCAAGGTTTAAGACTATCCTCACTACAAGGATCCCAGAGTCATGGACCCCAATTTTCTGGAAAACTCCCGAGTTCTCGAGCTGCAGGAACCTGTGCTTTGTACAAATGCCCTGCTGAGCAAAGGCGCCCTGAGCTTAGGGTTGACGGGTTCAGGTTTGGGGGGGGCCAGGGGGTTTAGAGTTCTGTGCTTGGGGTTTAGAGTTCAGGTGCTTGGGTTTGGAGGCTGCTCCTATGTCCTCCCATGAACTTGTAAATCTGGCGTGCTCTGAAACAGAAACGATGAAGGTATCCTCGAATTAAAGGAAACTACAGGTGGGGCGTTTAGGGTATATAGGGCTTCTATAAGGCTTCTATACGGTACGTAGACCTTCTATAAGGCTCCTATTATAACGGTAACTACCCACCTGAAAATGTCCTAGATCGAAATGGAAAACTTCAACAAGTGTTACCCAGTCCAGGTTGCTTACCACTGCCCGCCTCTTAAACATAACGCTCTGCTCTGGCGTTGAGCGACCGGATGCTAAACCCCAAGCCCCTATAATGCCAAGCCTTCAAGCCCTAACATAGCCCTAAGTATCCCCAACCCCTAAACCCTAAATCCCCTGTGATCGGAAGCCGCCCTGGTCAGACAACCAGCGGCGTCTCGGCCACACGTGCCGTCGTGGCTGCAAGGTTCACACCACAGCGCCCGGTTCCCCGCTCCTGGGTTGGCATTCGGGCTTACAGCGGGGCTTCTAGAACATTCAATCATAATTGGGCTTAGGGTTTTTGCTTTAGGCTGTGTAGAGTATAGAGTATAGTATAGGATAGGGATCATGGTTTGTGGGAACCTAGGCTTTCCGGGTTTGGGTTTGGTGCTTGGGGTTTGGGGCTCGAACAACGGTATAGGCTTTGAAAGGTTGACGGCGATTGAGAGTCCTAAACCCTAAACCCTAAACCCCTAGAGCCTGAAACTACCGGTAATGCCCAGCTTTTGGAGTCAGGCGTCTACTCACCCTATCCTCTACACCCCCTAGACTCTAAACCTACAGATACTTAAACCAAAAAACCCGAGACATCCACACACTGCCGAAATCCAGACCCTCAACTCCGAAATACTATACACCCCCGCCCCCACACCCCAAACCCTAAACCCTAAACCCCAAAACCCTAAACCCCAAAGCCTAAACCCTAAACCCTAAACCCCAAACCCTAAACCCCAAACCCTAAACGCTAAACTACCGAAGCAAGGCGCCAAGCGGAAGAAGCCTTTTTCGCCCCATGAGGTGCCCCAGGAGTTCTTGAGCCTCAGGAAAACCACAGCTTCATGGGGCTTCATGCGTTAAGGTTTAAGGTTTCAGGACGTAGGCTTGAGGGTTTAGGATTCAGGATTCAGGGTATAAGGTTTAGGGTTTTGGACTGATTTAGGTTTACGGCTTAGGGCGTCAAGGGCTGGAGGCTTCAAGAAAAAGGTTGGGAATCTCACCTATCCGACGGGCGTCCCACAGGTACCCCAGGGAGCGGGGTTCTCATGCACGTGCCTGTGCTGTTTCGCCCGAACCGGGTGACATCCTAAATGCTATAAACCCCTATGTGGTGATGATGCATGCCTAAGGGTTGAGGAGTGTGTGGGACTGGCCGAGGACACTGATGAGGGCGAAGACGATGACGACATATGACGACGATATTGTCGTAGACGGTGATGCTGTTGATGATGATGATGATGATGGTGGTGGTGGTGGTGGTGATGATAATGGCGGTGGTGATATTGGTGATGAAGAAGATGATGATAATGACGATGATGATGGTGATTGCGGTGACATGATGATGAGAATGAGACTGGGGATGAGGATGAATATGAAGATGGTTAATATTATGATGATGATGATGATTTTGGTGGCGGTGATGATGATGATGACGACGAGGAGGAAGATGAGTATGAAGATGATGATAGTGATGATGATGATGATGATAGTGGTTACAGTGACGGTAGCGGACATGGTGATGGCATCCTGGTGACCGGTGAGGACACGGTGACGAAGACGATATTGGTGAGCAGGCAGGGGAGAAGCAGGAGCCGCAGCAGTGGCACCAATAATTTGGACTGCTGATGTAACTAGGCACGCGTTGACTGCTACAAGCTAGCCACTGCTAGTATGTTTTGAAGATGGTGGTAGTGACGTCGATGACGAGGCATGAGTGTCATAAACCCTCATTTTGGCATTTCGGGCCAATTTGCCTCCAGTAGGGCTTCGTCTTCCCCAAGATGTCACGGTCCTTGCGGGCAGAGGTAGGGTCCGGGATTCCTCGTGGGTGCAAAGCCTTCGGTTCGGTGTTGAAAACCTGGAATAAGACCTCGGTGAGTTTGCTCCTGTGTCTTCTCCGTGTCAGCATGCGTCCTGGTTGGTAGGTGAGGTAGTGCTTGACTCTTTGCCATTCCCGATTAGGGTCTGAGCATCAAGACCTTTTGGTCCCAACTTGGAGCTAACTTGGGCTTCAGGTCCATCTATGGAATACAGCAAGTCTTAAAAATGTGCAGAAGGAAATCTACAACTGCTCCGGCCCCCACTTGAAGCTGCCTGGGCTTCCACGGAAGGGTTTTAAGTTGAGCAACTTTGCATGTTGCCACCTCGAGCCTTTGTCAGGCTGCACATGTCACGCCACGGAAAAACAAAAACTCCCTCAACACCAGTTGGCACTCCTGACCGTAGCCGACCAGCAGCACTGCATGGTCCAAACCCAGAATGCCTCGCAAGCGCTGCTGCTGATTTGACTGGAGGGAAAGGACCCTTACAGTAACCCTTCAAGTTACCCTTGCAGCAGACCTTATGTTATAGTAACTGATGTGGAACTCCTTACTCCTTACGGTAACTCTATACTGACCCTTACAGCGTGCGGGCGGACTTGGCTTCGGGGTCGGGGCTTCAAGGCAAAAGGTCCTGCAAGCCATACTGCCCAAGTCGCAGAAAGCTGTCATCAACAAAAACCCAACGAAACCCTGATCCCCACGGCCGTGCAGTTTTCAGGATCTCAGCCTTGACTTGACACCCCATCATGACGATGAAAACTGTCCGCAATGCGCAGGAAGCTGTTGTGTCGCCAAGACCCAATCGGTTTGTAATCTCGAGGGACATGGTTTCGTTGCTTGTTACCACACGCTAGGACAGCCTTAAACCACTCCCACAATCCGAAGGAGTCTGGCATGAATAGGGGCATGATCCCTGTAAAGGCACTGCGGCTTCGCAATCCGTGACTCATGTGGACCTGACACGTGTCCGAAGCAATCTTCGGCGTGCTCCCCTCTCCTTCAACTGCAAAGTGCTCCTGGCCCTGGGGTTCAAGCCTTAAGGCCTTCAGCCGCTGAAACTATTGCTGAAACCTAGATCCAAACAGACAATGGGGTGAGGCTCAGATGAAATCGAGCTGCCTGATCCTGGATCCGGCTGACAACCAAAAACGCCACCTGATGTGAAATTTCGACGTTTACTTATAGGTTCTTGTGCGGTCCGGTGTTTTCATGTGCTTGGGGCTCATGCTTGGGCTCAGTGTTGAGACGGGCTCATGCTGTTTCCGCTACGAACGACAACAGGCATAATGTACAACGAACAGTATAACGTAGGGGCCTAGATATTTGCAAAAACTCTCATGGGGTTCCTTATTTTTAAAGACAGCATAATGGGCACCAAAACTCTATTCTAATGATTATTAAGGCCCCTATGTTAGGTCCGAACAGGGAGCCTCAGATCTGTCTCGAATCTGAGGTCTAAGATTCAGAACTGCGCCCCGAATCAAACAGGCTTGGGAGTAGCCCGAAGTTCTACTTTGCCGTTCGTCCAAACGGTCCTAGTCACCCCAAAGCAAACACAGGCGCCAAGCTAAGTTCATGGTATCATGTAGGGCAATGTAGGGGCCATAATTAATAATTAGAGTAATTAAGGTTTGGGTATAGTTATGATAAAGGAACGCCCCAAATAGTATTGGCAATTACTTAGACCCTCTATTACCATGCGGCCTTGCAGTTGCTCGTAGCAGACTACAGCAACGCAGGTTGGTTTGACGTCAAGGCTGAGCGTACCAAAATAGCAAAGATGCAGATGCATGATACAGGGTGACATCTTGATGCCAGACAGTGGTGTATGACAGTTTGCCGCACCTACTACATTTACAAGTCCGTGTCGAATGGTTACGTTCTAGTATACTTGTAATATGGAGCCCTAAGGACGACGTGTGGGTAATTATGCTGGCCACTATATCACGGGACATCTCGACTCGGGGGCCTGCCTCGCCAAATGCCGGAGTGATAGAACTGCAAGCTGTCCTTGGCTGCCAGTCGCCACTATTCTTCTTATGATTACTTTTAAACTTTGCTGTTATTACCACCAGTACTAGTATTGCTATTCACTATTTTGTCGCTGGTGCTTTGTTATCATAGTTCTTGTCACCAACATTTGCTGCATGCTACCCTTTTGCCAAGCCTACACCCGGACTAGACCCTAAAACCTCAAAACATAAACCCCGGACTGTGTGCCTGTACTGGCAGTTTATACACCAGCATGCATGGCGGGTCTGCGGGTAGAGGTTCGCCATGCACTGCATCAGGTGATAGCTTAGTACAAGAACCCAGCATTTCTTGGCCAATCCGTGTGGCCCCGAAGCATGAACTCCCATCCTGTTAGAATAACACGAGCTGGCATGATTGCGCGTATGACTATTATTGATATTCGTCTTGTTATGGCCAATATTTGTAAACTTATTCTTGTTACTTACTTGTTAATATCATTACTAGTCTCGTGATTACGACTATTTTTGCGATTACTATTGTTGTTATGATTATGATTATTTGTATTTATTATTGCTACCATTATTGTTGTTATGCAAGGTGTCATCCTGAATTTCTTATATCACTACCGTTATTGGCATACGTAATCGTGTTGGTATAAGCGTTAGATACCAGTAGTCTCATATAGTCTCATCTTTCTTCTTCTTCTTCTCCATATTGTTACCGATCGTTGTTATTAATATTACCATCTATTAGTGCGACAGAAGCGTCTGCTTCAATGAGCACGGACAGCGGCCCATACTGCACCATCTGCATTGCCAATTCAGTCTCGTTGCCTCGACTTGGGCAGACCCTAACCAAGGGTTTCGCCTTCTTGGGGGTTAGGGTTTAGGGTTTGGGGATGGCTTAGGGCTTTAGGGCTTATAGGGTTTAGGGTTTGGGGTTTAGGGTTTAGGGTTTAGATGTTCAGTTCCTAGATCAAGTTGGCTCTCGGCAGCTCAGGGGCGGCTGAGCGCCCTCCAACCGGTCACGCGCACGGCAAAGCCGTGGGAGGCGTGACAGAGGTGCAGCGGGCCCTGACCTCTCGGTGCTGTATGGACTGCAGTCGACCCTGGCTCACTGGCAAAGTTGTGTAGGAGCCTGTTAGCAGGACCATTTCTCATGGTTCGCGAATTATGATTCCGCTGTGCTTCCGCGGGAAGCTACCCCAAAACCCTATCTTGACCACTCAGACCCCAAAATGATTCGGGAAAAGCCTAGTGCCCCGCCTTTCGTGGAGTTGGCCTTGCAGAAGAGGTCGTCGTGGTTGCCACAGAGAGGTTTGCTGTAGCCTCTTCATAACGGGAGGAAATGGGCCAGCTGTAGGTTGCAGCCCTGAACAACATGAACTGTATGGGTTTCTCCCTCCCAGCTTCGGTTTTGCTTCAACTCCACTCTCAGCCAGGCCTTGCGGCATGCAAGGGTACATGCCAGTCGCCCAATAAGGCCAGTCTGCTTCACTGAACATGCCGCCAGCTTTCTCAAGGTACTGGTAGGCAAGGTAGGGCCAGCCCCCAAACATGCCGCAATCAGCACCTGAGCAATCGAAACTCGAGCACCAGGATGTCCACCGTGTCTGCAACTAACTCAACAGCACAGGTGAGTATGTAGCTGCCATAGCTCGTTGCTCAGACGATGGCACAAGCAAACAAGTGGTCAAGACCGAGGTGGGCTGAGAAGTTGAAACTTGCGGCTGACATGGGCATTCATGGACACTTTGCCCTGTCGGAAAAGCGGGAAGGGAGTATGGAAAGGTACATGGTCTAAGTTCCGGGCACCCCTTGCCTCCGCCACAAGATGAATCCGTACTGGCCTTGCTCATGCACGCATATTGCAAAGTCGTTGTATTCACTGAGCTCCACGCAAGAGAAAGGCTCAGATTCTACGTGCGTGCCCGTGTGCACGACCATGCCCTGCACATGAACAGTTGGTGCACTGCCTTGTGCCACTATACGAGAACACTTCCCAGCCAAGCTACGTCGCACTCGACCAACTGCTCTGGTGACAACGGCACGAGCTTGCCAGTGGTGACCGCCACCTGGCCTCAAAAGGGCACTGAGAATCATGCCCGCGCTGCCGGACTTACTTCAGAGCCTCGGGAACAATCGTTTTTGCAGAACGGCAGCACAGCAAGCAGCAGGTCAGGAAGTTCGGAAAGGCGTGGCCTAACTAATTACTGTCACTGCGCCTACAGCAGCTCTTTCTGCAGTGTGAGGTGGAGCTTGCAATTTCTTGCTCACATTTGAAAGAAGACACAGTGCAGCTTTGGGCTACTCCATGCATTTACGCAGCCAAATGAAGTGCGACGTCAAGTCTGAAGATTCGAACACTCTCCCAGCCTTCCACTGCCTCAGCAGTGGACACAGCCCAGCATGACCCCAGCGCCTGGCGGGCGCTCGCGGAAGTCACGGCCAGCAGCCCTAGACGATGCATGCCTACACTTCACACCATGGCGGAATTGTCAGCACAGTTATGCTGGTGATGATGACATGTTGATATGATGACGGTAGTGCGAAAGGCGGTGGTGATGACTATTGTGACCATTACCATCATCTTCACCAATACTAACACTATCGTCATCATGGTCGTCATCACCATCATCAGCAGCAGCATGACCATCGACACGCTTCACTGCCCATGATCTGCAGGCTCAGACGAGTCTGGACTGAAAGAATACCCAACAAAGTGATCCACTCGCAAACAGAATCAGGGAATTTTGGTCCTGTGGTGACGAAGATCTTACTCTAAGAGTTGGCTCCCGCAGCCGTGTCAAAATGATAGACACTTGCGGGAAAAACTGAAGTGCGTTTAATGGAATCCTTAGAAGGACAATCATACACGACCACCACTATTCCGAAGCATGCCCGTGTAGACTTCACAAGTCCGTGATCTAGCAGAATCTAGCACGATAAACCCTACTTTCACATCCTCACGCGTCTGTTCCGCCACCCGCTCTGCAGAAATACCGTGCAAAGCCCCCTCACCATACTGGACCTCTAACGACCTCAGACGACTATCATACCTTCAGCATGCAGCTCATGACGACGATACCTCTAGCTGTCTGTAGACGGACGTAAGACCCAAGCAACACAAAGCGGAAGAAAGACTATCTCCGACGAAAAATCAAGCCCCTCACCGGCAACCCAAGTCGAACGCCAACACCCCCAGGAGAAATCCAAACTCCCGGTAGCCTTCTGGTCTCGCACTGGGCCAACAGCGCCTTCTTGAAGGAGGTCGTACAGCTTCGTTTCATGAGCAGGTCGTATGACTACACTGTACATGTGCATATGTGCATATATGCAGGGCTCGGGTTTTAGAGTTCAGCCAGCCCGGTGTACACTGCATTTTCAGCTGGGTTTGTGAGGGTCTGGACCCTAAGCCCCCCCCCACCCACCACCCCCCCCCGCCACACACAAACACACACACACACACAACACTGTAGTTGATGTTAAATAGATTCAGACGGGTCTCAAGTCCGAGCTTGTGAATCTCGTGTCAGATTCGGTGTTGGGCTCACGCATTTCAACGTAGAGGTTCAGGTTGCAGTAGGGACGAAGGCATCCTCTCCTTAACAATCCAGCCGTTCTCCTGGAAGCTAGGAGTCTAAGGAATTTCATCATCATCATCATTATTCATCATCCTTATCATCATCATCATCATGATCATCATCATCATTCATCAACATCATCATGATCAGCGAGGTCATCATCCGAATCATTGTCGTCAGTCGTGTGCCGCCCAGGTCTCCTGTTCGCCACCATCCTTGTTGTCATAGTTATGGACACCATGATTAGCGTGCATCGCCATCATCATTGTGAACACCATCACTCACAGCGACTGACGCCATGACCATGACAGTCATCAGCTTCGCCATCGTCATGGCAATCATAGACGTCTTGGCATCATGGCTGCTGGCAGCTGTAGCTTCACTATCACCATGGTCGTCGACATGGAGAGCTTTGGCCATCAATATCAACACCAGCAGCAGTAGTAGCCGTCAGAGATGTAGTAGTCGAAGTCGAAGTCGTAGTTGTAGTCGCGGCCGTCGTGGTAGTCGTCGACGTAGTAGTAGTCTACTATTTTTAGTGCTAGCAGTGTCGTGGTGGTGGTAGTAGTAGTAGTAGTAGTCGTAGTAGTAGTAGTAGTAGTAGTAGGGGTAGTAGTAGAACTAGTACTCGTACTAGCGCTAGTACTAGTACTAGTACTGGTACTAGTAGTAGTAGTAGTAGTAGTAGTAGTAGTAGTAGTAGTAGTAGTGCTAGTAGTAGTGCTAGTGCTAGTACTAGTACTAGTACTAGTAGTAGTAGTAGAAGTAGTAGAAGGAGTAGTAGTAGTAGTAGTAGTAGCAGTAGTAGTAGTAGTAGTAGAAGTAGTAGCAGCAGTAGTAGCAGTAGTTGTAGTAGTAGTAGTAGTACTACTACTACTACTACTACTACGACTACTACTACTACTACTACTACTACTACTACTAGCAGTAGTAGTCGTAGTCGTAGTGGTATAGTGGTAGTAGCAGTAGTAGCATAGCAGCAGCAGCAGCAGCAGTAGCTGTAGCCGGTGCCGTATCCGTAGCCGTAGCAGTAGGGACTACTCAGAGTTCGAAAGACTTGTCTTTGCCCCGCCTTTGTCAGTCCAGTCGAAGCTATCCGAAAGACGTGGGGCGATCAGCAGGGACTCTGCAGCAACATCTGGCGCGGTGCCTTGCCAAACTTTGTGCAGGATCTAGGAGCTAGGACAGCGGAGCTCTTGAAGCGTAAGCCTGTGCCCAGCAGCCGACGTCCGCAACAAATACTAAGCAAATGCAATACATGTACATGAGCCTTGGCATATCTTTAACTTCCGTACCCCTACGTTGCTACATACGTATGCAGTAACCTACCTGCCAACCACACTCTTCGCTCATACATACCTACCCGCTGGCTGGATGGCTACCTATGCCACGCACCTACCCATCCACCTACCCACCCACCTAGCTACCTATATGCACATACCTACACACCGACATACTTACATACCAAGATAACTACATACCCACATACATGCACGCGTAAGTCCTTCTACTTCCGTATAGATTGGTGATCCTGATGATGACAATGGCATTGCGATGCTGATAATGACGACTTCTGTGCCAGTACAGCTGCGATGCTATTGGCTTTGGCAGCGCACTCCGTGGCATCGCTCCTGAATCAGAGCGTGGCAGCCCATGCCTTCGAAACCCGGAAGCCTGAGTTACCAAGGTCCGGCATCTGAGTCTCTGTGCAGTTCCAACCCCAACGCCAAGTCTCTACCATCAATCCTTCAAAGCCACATCTCCACCTTAACCCAACAGCCCTTAAGGCTAAGGGAAGCCGGGGGTCGCTTCGACATCAGCCGTGCAGCAAACCTGAGCGGCGCAATTCGAAGCAGAGACGGCCCAAGTTTGCAGAGGTCTCATCGTGCACAGCTCAAGATGCCTTGAACCCAGCCTAGGGCCTATAACAATCAAGAGCGGCGGTATCTGGAACACGCAACTGGGACATGCTTGGATGAAACGCCAATCTTGAGCTGATAGCCTACAAAGTAGACTATCTACATATATATATCTATATATATCAATCCTTCGGTAAAGAAATAGTGAACATGTCGTCGTCTATGACGGAATGACCAGGCTATTCAGTCTGTGAAACTTTACATCGGTCTTTTGCTGATCCCCCATTCGCAGGTCCGCTGTACCAGCTTTGGCGATGTTCAGTCGTTTCATGGCAGTGCGCCTCTCCTTCTCGCGATCAGTGCATCGTATTGAACCCCTGATTAGGGTGTCTTCCCGTCTTGATCTGCCACTGCCGTGTCCCACTGCACCAGGTTCAACAATGAAGTACGTAGTTGCCAGCCTCAATCCACCCTGCAATCATTCCTCATCCGTAACCCTACAAGCCCTGAACCCGAAAATGTCGGTCCTGAATATCACATTTGTTTTCGTCATGGAAACCCAATATAACCCTCTTCATGTATGGTTCTTCTTACGGCTCCTCCTCCCCCCTGAAAACGTCTCTCCAGGGAACTCCTGCGGCTCCAGGTCGGCGAAGGGCCCGGCGATGCTGTAGGTCACGCCAGGATCCAGCTCGTTGAGCTCCCGCACCTTACAGCACTACTCGGGGGGGGGGGGGGGCTGTTAGGGTCTTAAGGTTTAGGATTTAGTAGTTGGGGGTTTAGGGTTAGCGATTTTTAGTTAAGTGCCCGGGTTTGCGGATTTTTGTTCCAGGGCCCGGGTTTAAGTGTCGCAGAGGAGGCTTCCCAAAAAAGCATCTGGCAGGGGCTCTTCGGTTTTATCTATCTGGCGCTTGGGTGCATGCCCAAACCAGCGGAGATTCAAGCTGTAAGACTTAGAATAGGTTCGTACATTATCAATTCAGTATAGTCAGGAATTCTAGCAGGGTGGACTGCCAGCGGACGGATACTTTCAATCCTTTTTCAAGACTCCAACGCCCCAAAACTCTCTACTGGTAGCAACTCAAAGAGAGCACACTCTTGAACCTCCTCAACCCTGAAGCCCCATTTTTGGGAAGAGGCAGGGCTCGGAAAACCTGAACATCTCTGAACCTTAAACCCCCCGAGGCCCGGTCTCGAGCAACATTGGCTCGGAACACCTCCGCCCGGACCTTCGCCACCTGAGGGAGAGGAGGATCACGAGGTTTTGGGGTTTCTGGCTGCGGCAATGGCGTTTCGTAATGTACTCCCCACATAATTGCTTAAACCCTGAGCACTATACTGTGCAATAGGGTGCAGGGCTTCTACCAGCTTGCGCTCCTATGGTACAGCTGGTCCTTCGGACTCCTCCATTCCATGGAGCTGATTTGCAGAAGGATAGGCTGACATGATAAACAAAGAGCTGTGGCAGGTGCAAAGCCCCACTAGCAGGGATTGTTTGCGGTTTAGCGTTCAATCCTTCGGGAGTCCCTAAAACCTATAACCCTAAACCCAAACTAAACGGCTACTGCATCGGGCCGGATCAATTGCGCAAGCGTATAGACCCTCGTATGGCTATGGAGAACGGCCTCATCTTATTCCTCGAACTATATCTACAGGAAGCAACGTCTACACATACAGGGTGCATTCTTCCTGTGAAATCTCTCAATGAATATTTCCATAATACAGTCCCTCATAGTACCATATCATATACCAGAATAAGGTGTGCGGGGTCACGGGTTATCTCATGCCTCCTCGGTCTCGTAGGTCTTGCCATGAGCTTGGGCCCAGTCGGCGAAGCAGGGAGCAGGCGTTCCTGGTGCTAAGGATTAGGTTTGGGGCTTAGGGCTTATAGAGGGTTTAGGGATAACGGTTTAGGGTCTAAGCGCTTCGGGCCGCTGTGGAAATGTGGCTTCTAGTTTGGGAGATGAATCAGAATCGAAAGATGCGGGATTAGGAGTTTAAGGGAACACTGAAACGATTTATGCTGGGTCTGCAGTTGACAGGTTCCTGGTTCCTGAGTGCAGTATACTATGCAGACTGCCGCATGTCTTTGCAGAGTGTTGTCCCATGTCTGTTGCGAGATGATGAGGGCATGATGCATTCGCTAAGCATGCGTGATTCCTCCGAAAAGCCTGACACACCGGATACACGAAGTCCCTTCAACCGGATCTCTTGTCTTGCGGTGCTGTGTGGCACAATCGCCTCAGCACATAAGTTTACAGCCGCCTCCTCTCCCGTGAAAGCATACGGGGAAAACCAATGGCACGCTTCGTGTGACCTACTGCGAGCCTCAGGTGCTCCGGGTTCTTTATGCAGCGGTGGATAGTTAGAATGGGCTACTCGCTACATCGCAAGTTCTGTTGCCAAAAACACGCACAGCGACAACACTCAATCAACATCAACACGACATCAGAGGCCGCCACTGACAATCCCTCCTCTGCGCAGGGTCGGAATTCCACAAAGGGCGAACCAACATTTAAAAAAACACTTCGAAAGTCCCACCTCGAGCCAGCAGCGGCAAAAGGTACAGCCAGAACAGCATGGCTGCAGCTGTCCAGGGCGAAAGATCCCTTCAGTATGCGAATCACCACCGGATAAGAGTGTCCGGCTCAAACTTGGTCCGAGAAATATCATAAGCTGAAGAAAGCTGTACTTATATGTGCCTCTTGAGCCCACACAGCTTAAGCGCAGACCCGGAAGAGAAGTTCGGTACCATCTCGACTAAAGGCAAGCTTTTCTGCTTTGCAACGCTGATGTCTACAAGCTCATTGCACCACATGCATGAGTTCTGCCTTGACGTGTTCTTCAACCTGAACTTAAGGAAACAGAAAGTGCACAGGTGCCGGCGCCTCTTGTAGTGCACACGCACGGCGAGTATAGGAAAAATCACGGCAGCCTCAAGAAGGAAAGTCGGAAGCAGGATGAGAAGCAGCAGAAATGATGAAATCAAAAGCAACTCCATGACCACGGCATCGAGAGCAGTACCTCTCCTGCGGCCTCCCCTCTTCGGACCATGCGCGT